TTTAAAATATGGTTCCAGTTCATTATAATAGGGCTAGATATAATTGAAAACTAGGGCTCCAAATCCAATGTTATCAATAAGTAACTACTCAATTCAATTCAACTACCCAAACTGACAGCTCCACTTTATCTGAAGGATATTCACGTGGGTTTGTGGTAATCATCACCATCGCCACTATCATCTCACTTATTTGGTACGTGGCAGCTTCCAAATGAATTCTTCCCCCAACAACCTTGAAAGCTTGACCAAGGTCATTGTTGCTGTCAACACTTGACCAAGATGGAAAATGAGACCCGGAAGTTAACTGGCTTGGATTAGGACACACAGGTAGTAAATGTAGGGCACACAGCTAGTGAATGACAGAACCTGGCCTGCCGATCTCTATTTTAGTGCTTTTCACTACATCACAGCGATTCTCATGCGACTGGTGGTGGTGCTCAGTTCCTCATTTCTAAACAACCTAGCCTTCTCCACCTACCCATGTTAATTGTCCATTTCCCCTAGACAGGTTGATGTGTAGATAAACGAAAGACTTCAGTAAACAGCTTATAAAAAAAGGAGTTAACGTATCTTTTAAAGTTGATGACATTCAGAAAAATTTCCCCTAATCTGAGAAAGTGTTGTTTAGTTCCTGTGTATTTTCCTAAAACCCTCCATTCTCCCAATTCTAATTCCGGGAGGATTTGGAGCTGAAGGGCAAGCAGAAACCTAAAGCATCCTTATTCTCCGATAGTTCTCACACTGACTGTACAGATGAGCACTGCCAACATGGCTGGAAAAGCACTTTTCTTCCTCTTTCACAGCAGTGCTTTTCTGTCATCCCTGGCTTTCCACAAATTTGCCACTCTAGCCTGAGTGCCAGGTTTAAAATTGGCAAGAGATGCACAGTTGAAAACTAGCAGGAGGAATCTTCTTTTTCACATGATAGTCCTTTATTTTCTAAAATCAACCCCCTTCCCCGCCCCCCCCCCAATTGCTTTGAATAATGTTGTTTACAGAAGAGGTCTAGTATTAAAGATAATTTACGGCTAAGAATGCAACCTTTCAAGAGAAATATCTGGTGAGATCCTACAAGCCCGGTTTTTCCCTAGCATCTAATAAGAATATTATTTTGTTTCTTGAGAGGATATATATATTTATTTAAAAGGACCTAAAGTACTAAATATTAATGTTAACAGAAAACAGCAGTGTCAGAGATAAATAGAAGAAATTATTTTTATTCGATTATTGTATAAACTCTTCCTGTGATGTTACAGGCCAAACAGGAGAGAGTCACAGATTGGGTTTTCATAGGGTCAGACATTAATGAAATTAATACTTCCAGTGCCAAAAACTTTTGGGATTTGAGGCCCAAAGAGAAAGAGGCAGTGCCTGAAATGATCTGTCACTTTAAAACTTGGGCTGCCTATCACATGCATATGAGAAAGATGCTTATATTTAAATACAGTTCAGCTTCGCTACACAACTAACCTTCCATAGGGAGGGAGAAATATTTTAATTTTTTACTGGAAGGAAACATACGAGGACTCAGAAGTGCTGGTTTCTCATCCTCGCTCTGCTACCATGCTGCCTTGTGACAGAGCATTTCGCCTCCAACTCTTGTCCAAGCAAAGAAGAGATAAGGTAGAATGATCTTTAATACCATCTCTCTTATTTGCACCTGGAGTGAGAACAATGAAGGACAGAGCACAGGAGTCCGATGGGATCCCGAGGGGTGGGTCCGCATCCCACTGTCTCTCAGCTGCAAGGCTGCTTTCCCCTTCTCTGACACTCCAAGTATGCAGTACATGTTACTATGCAGGAGGAAGATGCCTCCTGGATTTGGGTCCTAAGTGCAGCCTAATGAGAAAGGATTGATGCTAATGTCTAGCAGAGAAGGAAGGAACATAGAAACACATTACTGTTAGCCAAGTGTTGGAGTAAAGTGAAGCATTTTCAAACAGAACTTGCTAAACATTAATCATTCTGGGCTTCAGAGATGATTAAACGATCAAGGTTTCCTTAATTTGCTATAGAAGATAAATAAAGGAACCCAAAACTACTAGAAAGATCAGAAGTCACTTAAAAAAAGAACATGGTGTACAGGATTTTATTGAACTTTGTTGAAAAGAGGCAGTGTGTCAGCAGAGGTCAAACAGGAAGTACTTGAAAGTGCTTACAACACATCATCTGCTTGAACTGTCTTAAACTTAATGTGAATTAGAGATCCAGGGCTGCATTTAGTCATTATGTATAAACAGAATCTCGGGCCAGGTTTTTCCAATGCCTCTTGGCAAACAGGCTATTATTAAGTATTTCGATTAGAAATGAAGAAAATATCAAAAGGTACAAAATTGCATAGAACAAATTCTTGAATTTGCCTGTGCTATAATCCTGGGAAAGTATGCTTTGATAGATGTATAAAATAACATCTCCCACCTCTGTAGAGCAGTTCACAGCTGAAGAGCTTTTATGCTTACTGACTCCCATGGGTGCCCCCTCTGAAGCATGTGTTAATATGAAGGAACTGAGGGAGACGAGACAGCTGAGCTAGAAGCCAAGACCACGTGAGACCTAGGTCAAGGCTTCTCCTAGACAGAGGTGATTAAGCTATTGTGGACTTTTCAAGAAAAATGACACCAAAATCACATCCTTTTTTTTTTTTTTTTAAAAAGAAGATTCTGGTAAAACAGGGCAGGGCTAAACTTATGTCCCAAAGCCTCTATGCCACCTCTACCTAATCTTTTCTCCCACAATTGTAAATTACGGTTGGTGAAGTCAATGTACCAAAGAAGGGATCAAGTTTTAAAAGCTTATGTTTTCGATATAAACCTCTATCTTTTAAAGTCTTTTTGGACAGATTTCTGGTAACATAAAAATTAGCATTTCTTCATTTGATCTATAAGCATTTTCCTCAGGTGATGAAGTTCTTCATGGTCAAAGATTATAGTTTTTTGGCACTTCACATCAAGTAGCAAAGCATAAACATGGCAGGCAGGATAAAAATACTTGTTTGACATGATCCAGCAATTCTTCTAAGTACATACTCAGAATTGAGAGCAGGAACTCTAACAGATACTTGTACACAATGTTCACAGCAGACTTATTCACAATAGCCAAAAGGTGAAACCCACCCAAATATCCATCAGGAGATGAAGGGTATAGACATACAATACAATATTGTTCAGCCATAAAAAGGAACATAAATTGGATATGCAACAGCATGGTGAATCTTGAAATCATTATGCTAAGGGAAATAAGCCGAACCCAAAAAGGACAAATATTTTATGATTCCATTTATATGAGGTACCTAGAATAGGCAAATTTCAGAGATAGAAAGTAGAACAGAAGTTGCCAAGGACGGGGCTAAGAGAAAATGGAGAGGTATTGTTTAATGGATTCAGAGATTATTTGGGGTGATGAAAAAGTTCTGAAGATGGATACTGGTGATGGCTGTATAAATATTGTGAATGTTGTGATTAATGCCACTTCAAAATGGCAAACTTTGTTATGTGTATTTCACCAAAACACAAAAAACTTGTTTAAAAAATAGATGGCCAAAGGGAATTATCCTGTAGAATACCGTGGTTATGTGAAAAGAAGAGAGAAGATGGTAACTGTTATATCCACTCACTGATTTAATAAACATGTACTAAGTGCCACCTATCTATATTAAGCCTTGAGGAAGTAAAACGGATACAACAGACCCCAGCCCGGCTCCCAGGGACATTAAGAGTCTAGTAGGGCATACAGAAAAGTAGAGAGACAATTACAACAACCAACACAACGTGGCAATTACTGTGATAGGGAAATAGTCAAGGTGCCAGAGAGCAAACAGAAGTGACACTTAATACCTGGAAGAAGTCAAGTCTAAGCTGCAATTAAAAGAAGGCTACTACTAAGAGGGCAACAGAGTATCCCAGAACCAGTAAAGGCATGTTTTAAGGCCTAGGGATACTAGAAAACATGCTGTGTTTGAGGAAATGAAAAGAAGTCCAGCAAGACTGGATATAGAATGTGAGAGAAGGGTAAATGGCAAGAGAGGTAGCAGAGGAAGAGAGCCAAAGACTGTTACAAAATCACTATGCACATTATGAGGAGGTAAAAAAAAGTGGCCAGAAAGGTGGAATAGGTTGGAGGCATGAAAACTGAGGGAATTCTTGGCCCCAGAATATGCTGTATTTTGGCAAATGTTCCATGTGTTTCTGCTGTTGAGTATATAATATTCTATGAATGTCAGTTAAGTTGATTGATGACATTCAAGTATTCTACATCCTTAATGATTTTCTCTCTGCTTATACTATGCTGTCAATTGAGAACACAGTAAAATCTGAGTATAATTATGAATTGTCTATTTCTCTTTGCAGTTCTATCAGTTTGTACTTCATGTATTTTGAGGCTCTATTAGTGTATTAACATTTATAACTGCTATATGTCCTCCTGATTAATTAGTTCCTTTTATCATTATGAAATGAATTTCTTTATTCTTGGCAATAGTCTTTGCTCTCCAGTCTGCTTTGGTAGGTATTAATATGGGTTGGACAACTATAAACTGGAGAAGATGCATGTGAATTGAGACTGAATTCAACTACTGAGGTTAAATTCACTGGAGTAGTAAAAACACAAACTCGATGATCAAGTGGTAGGAAACGAGTGAGTGTGGGGGAAAAAAAGACCACAGGAGTGGCAGATGATTAGTTAAGAAATGTTCCCACTAGAGAAAATGCCATCGTGTGTTACAACGAACCCATAGCTCACTTACTTAAAAATTCTACTTTTAATGAGGTGTATATTGAAAGAAAATCACCATACTTGCTTTGTACATCATGATCTGAACAATGGCATCCCCACTAGGGCGTGAATTATCAAGGTCATCATCTTAGCCACTCTGGAATCACATACACTCTCTTCTTCCTTTGCTATCCAGCTATTTCCCTGTGGCTCACGTTAAGGCCTATTCTAGGTGACCCAGGCCACAGCCACCCACTGCTGAATGAAGGGCTTGCTGGTTCCACCCTTACCTGTTGCTATGTTTGGACTTTTCTCGGTCCTTTTCCTTGTCCTTCTTGTGCTCTTTGTGCCGGTGTTCGCGATCTTTGTGTTTATCTTTGTGTTTATGAGAATCTGCAACCATAAGAGATGAGTCAGTTAAGGGGAAATCATAAGCTATCTCCTGCCCGCCTACCTTGACAAGCTGGTCAGGAAGCACAATGACAGGATTCAAAGGGCATGACAGCTAAAATAGCACATTCCACTGGAAGGAAAGATTTCACAAAACAGCCCAGACAAGGCATCCCATTTCCCTGCCTCTAAAACCAAGACATGTTACAAATGTGTGTATGTGGGGGGCCTGGGGGTGGGGCAGGGGCATCTTTTCATGTGTTTATTGGCCACTTATGTATCTTCTTTGGTGAAGTATCTCTTCAAATATTTTCCCCACTTAAAAAATACTTGTTTGTCTTATTATTGAGTTGTAAGAGTTCTTTATATATTCTGGATTACAAATTTTTTGTTATATATATATATATATATAGTGAATACTTTTTTTTCCCCTAGGAGATTTACAGAGGCAAGGGACAGGGTACATTTTTAAATCTATAAAGATGTCCAGTTGTTCCATCACCATTTTTTGAAAGCACAGCCCTTTCCCTATTGAACTGCCTCGACTTCTTTACTGAAAATGTGACCTTATAACCACAGGTCTATTTCTGAACTCTTTTCTATCCTTACACAAACAGACACTATCTTAACTACTATAGCTTCACAGTAAGGTTTTCTTTTTCATAGTAAGTTTTGAAATCAGATAATATAGTTTTATTCTTTTTTCAAAAAGTTTTGGCTATTCTACAGTACATCTTCTGTAATTCCATACAAGTTTGAGATTCAGTCTGTCAATTTATTTTAAAAAAAAAAAAGCAAAAAAAAGCCAGCCGGAAGTTTGTGTTTATAGGAAAGTTTGAAATATTCTTGTATCTTTTGATCCATGAGCATGGTTATCTTTTCCCACTTATTTAAGTTAGTGACTCTCAAAATTTTAGTGTGTATCAGAATTAACCCAAGGACTTATTAAAAAACACTGTTCAAGGGCCGGCCGAGTGGCTCAGTTGGTTAAGAGCTCGCTTAAGAGTTTGAGCTCTGAGCAACAGCGGTTCGAGTCCAGCCCGAGCTGAGCAGCCGCTGAGCTGCCAACAGGAAGCAGGATGGCTCAGCTTTAAAAAAAAAAAAGAAAGAAAAGAAATTTAAAAACACTGTTCAACTGAGGTCAGATCAAAGTTGAGTATGAATCAACTGGAAGCTTATATATGGAACACATGTGTGGTGGTTTCAAAATATGTCCAACAGGGCCGGCCGAGTGGTACGTTGGTTAGGAGTTGGCTTGGGGCGCCAGCTCTGAGCAGCAAGGACCCAGGTTCGGACCCCACATGGGGGCCAGTGACACTGCCCTCTACAGCTAAGATGGTGAACAATGGCTCAACCTGGATCTGGGCTGCCGTGAGTCGCTGGCGACAGCGTAGGCTGCAGCCCCTGCTGCAGTGGGCTGCCATGGGCTACTGTGAGTGGCCGGCAGCCGGCTCAGCTGCCAAGAGCCGCCATCCAGAGGCCGGCAACCCATCTGCCTCAGCTGGGAAGAGCGCAATGATGGTGCCAACTTGGGCCAGTGAAGCAATGTCCTCCACAACTAGACTGAAGAACAAAAGGACAGCAACTTGTCTATTCCCCTTCCCCAATTCCCCAATAAAATCTTTAAAATAAATAAATAAATAAAATACGTCCAACAGATTCTTTGATACTCCTCCTTTCAAGAGGTTATGGCCTAATTTCCTTCTCCTTGAATATGGACTGGACTTAGTGACGCACTCCTAAAAACAGGATAAAGTGGAAATGTCAGTATGCAACTTCTGACAGACACCAGGACACAAAAGGCACTGGATCTTCCTTCTTGCTCTGAGAGAAGCCAGCTGCCATATTGTCAGGACACTTAGGCAGCCCTGTGGAGAAGCCCACATGGTAGGGAACTGAAACTCCCTTACAAGAGTCCTGTGAGGAAACCATCTTGGAAATAGGTCCTCCAATCTCAGTTAAGCCTTCAGATGACTGCAGTCTCACGACAGACCGTGAGCCCAAACTACCCAGCCAAGCTTCTCCTGGATTCCTGGCTCACAGAAACTGTGTGAGAAAACAAATGTTTGTTGCTTTAAGCTGCTAAAATTTTGAGGTAACATGTTTCACGGGAACAGATAACTAATAATAAACATGTATGAAAAAGACTAGAAGACAGACACCACAATTTAACGTTAAAAGTAGTTATCTTTGGGTGGTAAATTTTTGAGTAACTTGATATTTTGTGTACATACTTTGCCTTGTTTTCCAATTTTTCCCCATGTAAATCACTTTTATAAAAGTAAGTTATTTTTTAAAAATTACCAAGCTTTAACAATTTATTTTGACAAGTATTGATGTAGACAGGGAAAAGTAGTTTAATTCACTAAAAAGCACTAAATTTAAAAAGGAAACTAAGTAAAAGATAAATTGAAAGTAATCCCAAGTAGGTTTCAGATAACTAGTCTGCCAATAAAATTCTTTTTCAATGCAAAAAACTTCAAAGTTGATTTTAAAGCCAAGTCCCCAAGTTTTCTAAAGCAAGTGCTAACCTAAAAATGTAAAACCAAAATATCTGATCAGAAACGTAAGATTGTAGCTCAATAATCCACTGATATAAATAAGACCTAGGTCAAAGTGTACCTCATTTAAAAAGAAGTTATTAATGTTGAATGTCAACTATAATCATATATTCACTCATATATATTCATTCATGGAAGTGGAGTACAACATAAGGTATAGAATTGTAACAGCTATATACGATAGCAGAGGGGCAGTAAATTGGAGGAGGGGGTTATCACTTTGTGAGGGGTGTAAATGTCTAACTATTACATTGTTTTGTACACCTGAAACCAATAAAAAATATTCAGAGAAATAATAAAAAAATAAATTAATAAAAAAGTTATTACATGTCTACTATATGCTCGAATTGTGTTATATATGCTGTGACAGGTATCAAAAAGTATAAAATACGGCAACTTCTTCAAATATCTGAATGACTATAGTATAGCTGCTAAATTGTCCCACGCGGCAGGCTGGGTGGGCCTTCTGAGGAGAAATGAGAGGCCTTCTGAACACCAAAAGTGTGTAAACAAACTAAATCATCACTGACAGGGAAGTCGCAGAGATGATCTACAACAGGTAAACTGATAGATAAATAACTTCTAAAAATGCATATGGAAGTACTGACATCTGGAATTTGCTTTAAAATACCTCAGGTTAAAAAACAAAAACGGGGAGTAGGCATATGGGGATAGATAAAACAAGACTAGCAAAAGGTTGAGCTACTGAAGTGGGCAGATAAGATACATAGGAGTTCATTATACTACTCTTTCTACTGCTGTATAGGCTTGAAACTTGCCATAATAAAAAGTTAAACACTATCTTTAAGCGTCTTCACTCCCAATCCCTTATTTTTTCTTATACGCATACAGCAAGGAGAAGACTAGCCTACTCCAAGAGAGGATTCTTGTTAAGGAGGAGTAAGAGATAAAGTTTGATAAAATTAACCCAAAAGTCAAGGTGTCCTACTCCACGGAGAACGGTGCCACTTCAAGCAGAAAAGGAACAAAATAAAAGCCATACTTAAGGAAGATTAATTGAAGGGCAGTGTGGGTAGACAGGTAAAAGCAGAGTAAGGGGTTTTTGAAGCAGTCTAGAAAAAAGTGATAGCAACGGGGCTGAGAAGGAAGGAAAGAATACAAAAGCACGTTGAGGAAAATGGAAGATGAACTCAGTTCTAGGAACTCACTGGCTATGTGTAATAAATAAATGCAAGGGAAGAATCAAAGAAGGCGCAGAGCTTTGGAGTCCCTGTGACTACAAGAATGAGGTGGCTTTGAAGACACAGGAAGGCTGTGTACAACAAAGGTGGGGAGAAGGAAAAACACTGAATGAAACTAATGAAGTCACTTTGTATTTAAGGTAACAGTGGGTCATCTGACTAAAGACGCTGGGTAGAAGAGAAGCCAGTATATGAAAAAGTGAAGCCAGTCAGGGCATACTGATCTATATCCTGCATGGTGAAAATGTAGACAGCTTGCCAATGGCCTTGAAGATGACTTTTACTATATACCCTTCCCCTTAACTGGAAGTCATCTAAGAATAGATACTGCTAAAATGTTTTGGAGAAAGGATTTTGCCACTTCAAGCATCTGGTTAAACACAAAAAGAACCATGTTGAACTTAACCGATAGATTAGAAATGAAAGATGCAAACCACTGCATATTAAAAATTATCAGAAAACCTCATTCAGTGTGAATTCAGGTCACCTAACAACCTCCTGATAACAATTGTTTCGATCCCCAGCCTTCAAAAATGTGAGATGAAGGCATGACAGGAAGACCCCTGAAATAACGCAGTCTTGAGAGAAGACACAAGGTAAGTAGCAGCTAATTCCTCTCACTCTAACTTAACTGGAGTTCCTCCATCGGATAGATAAATAGATAATGGAATGGGAAATCAACATCTTTTGTTATCTAATGTGTTCCTTGAAGTTAAGGATGATTTTAAGTTAGAGACTTCCAAATGACAAAAGAGGAAAAGTATCTCTGTCTTCTCTGATTACAGAATAGTTGCTGGTTAGCTGACCTGATAGTTAATATGCAAAAGAAAATAAAACCTTTTACTACTGGATTAAGAATTATATTCTGAGTTCTAATTCAGTTTACAACCATTTAAAATATATTCTTAAATCGAAAGCACTCCGCTAAAGGCTCAACAGACATGGACTATGCCCTCGAGGAGTTTACAGTCCAGTGAGGTGGTACTGTAATTAAGATATGAAACCCAAACAGCCAGGGCCCAAGGCACTAAGGGTGCTAGATAGGTGCCGGAACCATGCTAGAGTACTTATAAACATTGTCTCATTCAACCTTCTCACCACTCTCATAAGGAAACATTAGCCCCATTTCACAAAAGATAATAGTAATAGCTATCCTTTACTTAGAGTGTACTCTGAGAAAGGTAGTATATGCTTTAAGTATCATCTCTAGTTTTCACAACTCTACCAATTTCATCAAATC